AGGACCAATATAAAAACAAACAACAACCGTGTATAAGCCAGGGGCTTAAGAATAGACCAGCACAACAGTGAATGAATTTACTATTTAAAATATTAAGGCCTCTCTTAACTATTATTATAGATCTACTTATTAAGAATATACTTATCGATAATCTAAAAGATTTTTTTTATTTATATACTCGTTTCTAATACCAGAAATATAGTATTTTATATTAAAGAGGATATTTTTTTTACAGCCTACCGAATATTAGTAAATTAAACCTATATTTTATTATTATTAGTCTAATAAATCTTAAAATCTATATAGTTAGTCTTAATTTAAAATATATCGACGGTGACAGTTTTATTTATTTATTTTTATCTCTACCGAAGAAATATCTTATTTTTTTTAAAAATATAGATTAGACTGGTATAGAAAACTGTAATATCAGTAAGTCTCTTTTTTAAATTAAAAATATATTAAATAATAATAAAAGTTATAAATATTCAGATTTTTCTAATTATTTACAGAGTGGTCTGAGCCTCTCAGAAATTTTTAATATTATTAATAGTATTTCTATTTAGAAAGAGCGAATCTTAATTATAATTATAAATAATCTAAAATCTTTTAATAAGGCCTTCCAACGCTCAGACCGAATGGACTGAGTCTTTTTCTTCTATTTTACTATCCGAAAAGATATTAAAAAATAATTTCTAATATTTTTTATAAAGCCTTCGGACTATTTTTATATTATTAATACCTATAATATAAAAATATATTATTTTTTAAAACCAGTATTCTTAAATTAGTCGCTAAAGAATATTATTTAATTATCGAAAAAATTTACTGCTAAAATTAAGCTGAATATATATACTACTGTAATACTTCAGAATTATTTTTTATATTTTAAAAATAATCCAGTATCGGCCGAGTATAACGTGACCGACTGGATGATATATATAGATAAGAATAAAATATTTATAGTGGTTTGACTGGAATAGAAGGCTTAAAGTATTAAAATAAATAATATTTAAGTACTTTCCAGTCTGAACCCGGGGGTTTTAGAAGTAGACAGAAAGATTAGAAATAATATATAATATTAGCTGGAATATAAAATATTAATCCGAAGAAAATTATAGTTTATTTTATATTATTTAGTGCCTCTATATCTTTGTGGTTTCGGAATTTAGTATAAAATAGAGAATAAAGAATATGAGTATTGGATTATATAAATATGTAAACGTGCCACTCTAAATACGGGTTCCGCACAATGTGTGTGATGAGTCATCTAAGTTAAGATGGCTTCTTCTGACATATGATTGCTGTTTAATACAATCGACAAAGAATATCAAGCTGAGAAGTTAATTTAAGGAGATTATACTCTCATTCATCGTACCAGAATCTGTAATTTTTAAATTTATGATTCTTGCCCCTCTGTACACACCAATTGGGGTTGTCATTTTAGCTGTCGCCGAACTAAATCTTTAAATCCGATAGCTATGCCCAATCACCCTGTTTTCAGCCGTTATTAAACAATACTTAAGAGTATTTTGGGAGTAATGCTTGTTTATGTAGCCACCGCCCTACCTCCGGCGTCGGAATTATGATCAAATGTAGAGTATAAAATAACTGGTACAGTATAATATGTACTGTGATATGCCTTTATGGTGCTGAACTACTACAGATTTGCATGTCTAAGAAGAAAGTAAGGTATTGTTATCAATTATGCCTCGAATTGCTATTGATACAAAAGCGAGGAATAAAGATAATGAGCAATCTTTTTTAAGCGCAACTGGGAGCTCAGTCCAGCTTTACTTCCTGACTCAAGAGGTCGTCGGCTGTGATCTAGCACTGCGCTTATTGAAAGTGCCAATCCTGGATTGTAGCCATTGCAAGGGAGGCTGACGTACAGGTTATGTGCTCACGCAATCACCTGGGCAATAATAGCTTCCGTCAAATTCGAAGAGTATAGTGTTTCAAGAGAGCCGACAGACCAGTATCTCCCTCTATCCCCGGCATCAACTAAAGTACGGCCTTGTCTTCTAGTAGTTTGATCTTGTCCTCTTCACCAGTACTTTCACCAGCAGCGAGTTCGTCAAAATCCTTGTCTGTTTTCTATACCGGCCGTGGGTAATATCTCTTCTAGCTGGTATTAATAAGCTTACGATAGAAACCATACTAGAAACTATTTATTAAATAAAATAAAAATCTTAATTAAAATCCAGTCGGATTAGTCTGAAACATCGTGACTTGCTCGGAATCTCGAAGCCGAATATTAAGATATATATTAGTATTGTACAGCTTACTATATTTATAGATTTTATATATTAGATTTTTCTTCCGCCGGTCTTGTTTCTGTCGTACTACTTTTTTTAATAAATTAGAAATCTTAAGTAGCTTAGTTTCGTTGTCTTCTAATATTATTATAAAAAAAAATATATAGATCTGAACTTGCAATCTGATTTTTTATCTATATTTATAAAACTTCTTTTATAAGGATCTGATATCTAAGTCATACGAGCTTTAAATATTAAAAGCAAATTAGTTTTATTATTAATTTATAGTTTTTGCAACGCGGTTGAAATATTCGAATAATATAATATTTATATTAAATAAAAATATTTGACCGAAGTATAATAGTAATAGATTCGGTATAATAATAAGAAAATAAGTTACTCTGTTCTATAAATAGAAAGTACTGATTGTATAAATTAGCTTAAATATTTAAATTATAAATAGAAAAAAAATATAATTTTTTAATACAACTAATTATATTCAACTGTTTAAATTAAAAATCTATCCTAAGCCAGTTATTTTTCGTATATTAAACAATAAAGCTGTCTATTTAAATCTGTTAACTGTTTTTAATTATATTTATTTTTTATCCGAGTTGTACTGTTGATTAATCCGAAAAGATATTAGTTTATTTAAAATTTCGACTTTTAATATTAGTTAAAATAGAGAGTAGTGTTGTAATACTTATAAATAAAGATTATATAAATTGCTGATTTATTATATTTCGAGCGAAAAAAAAATAAAAAATTTATTACAGTATAAAATTTTTATAATTTTTTTTATAATATGGCACACGTTATTTTTATATCTATAAAATAGTTTATATAGAATATGACCGATCAGAATCGAACATCTTTATAATTTACTATATTTATTATTTTTATTAATTATTCTATATTTCTAATATATTATTGTATTATTGAAGTCAACTCCATTAATTTCAGTATATTGTTTCAGGAGCGGTAGCGAGTCACTATGCCTGGTGCTTCTTTGCTTGGTGGCTTACTCTGCTCGCAGACACCCAGGTCCACCGCAACTCACCGCCTGCGGCTTATCTGTGCCCGGTGTTACCCTTATCTTATAGCTCTTATTGCTGGCGGCCTGGGCTCGCCTTATATTTGTCTTATTTTATATTTATTTTATCTAATATCTGCTTACCGACTGTTTTTTTATTTAATAATTTACTTTATTTATAGTTATTTAAATCTGCTGATATTTACTGCCTGCAGCTTATTTATATATAGTATTATTATTATTTAAAGATTTACTCTATTTATATTTATTTAAATCTGCTGATATTTACTGTTTATAGCTCGTCCGTATTTAGTATTATTTTTATCTAATAATTTTTATTATTTATATTTTAAATTTATCTACTGTTCTGCCTGCAGCGTATTTATATTTAAAATTATTTATATTTAATATCTACTATTATAGAATTAAATAATTAAAATATTTAAAAATATAAGCTTAGAGATATATTACGCGTAGCTGTTTAATTTAATTATATATTTATAATAATTAAAACAGCCGGCCTCTTTAAATTTATATAAATTAATATTAATTTTTAATAATTATAAGTTTATTTACGAATAGCTACAGATTTTACTATTATACAGATAGGAAAAATTTAAATAGATACAGCTAAAAAATTTAAAATAACCGAATATTAATATATAAACTAATAATAATATTATTTATTAAAGTATTTAATACTGTAGCTGCCATTATTACGACTAGTAAATATAAACTATTTAAAATTTATTTAAATAGTAGAAATAGATTTAAAAATAAAAGCCGGCGTCTGTTTTTTATTATTACTTTTTAATATAATTATTTAGAGGGGTTTTAAGTATATTTTAAATAAAAACTTTAAAGACTCTATTAAAGATTTTCTAAAAATAAAAAGATTAGATAGGATTTATAATAATTCAATTATTATAATTTATATATTTATTGTACAGTATCTAAGAGTTTGGATATTTAGATCTTCGAAAGATTAAAAAATAATATTTTCTAATTTAATATAATCTAAATCTAAAGATATATATATTCTATACTTTTTAATTAGTTAAGCTATAGATCTGTAGAACCGTATTCAGGTGTGCTTCGAGTCTAGAGATGGATGTCTGCGGTTGGAAGGCTGTGGTGGGAAGGCTCTGGCTTTAAGCCCTGTGATCCAAATTAATTAATTGAAAGCTATGTTCTGGAGGCTGCGGACGTGGATCCACTTTGGATATATGCCCACAGCTTTGAGTCTGCCATCGCCTTTAATCTGTTAATTGACGGTCTGTAAGACTAAGTAACTATGGGAGGCCATAGCTCTCCTGACCACAGTCTATAAAGATTTTATTCTAACTTTCTTTAACTAATCATTATCTTTTATTAATATCAACCTGTACTCGGCTATCTATAAGCAACACGTTGTAGAAAAGAATTAAGAGTTTTCCTATCTGATACCAAAAGATTGAGTCCTCAAAAAAGTCATTCCTTGATATGCGGCCACAGCAACATAAAATTAATTTTCTAGGATGCTGACACACTTGCGTGATGTGCTTCATTACCTCATTGATTTGTCTGACGGACATGCTCCGTCCAATTTAGTGTAACACCAAATAACAAATGTTCTTGACCAATCTGGTGTAAACTAACATTAACAGTATACACTAAAACTAAAGGACTGGAAGTTGTATCAGGCTTCCACCAGTCTAATCCGCTGCCACTGCAAGCAACGCGCCCAAAAGAGATCATGGAGAAAATTGTGATTCCGATGATTTGTTTTCTCTTCAGCCTCTTTAAACTGCCTTCCAGCCTGCGCAAGTCTCCTCAGTGTGTACTTAGAACCATTAGAAGCACTCAACAAATTATCACCAGACTTCAATCTCAGCGTGTTGTCGATGGTTTCAAGGTCACTGTATTTGCAGGTAAGCATATCATTCGAACCATGTACTCAGCTCAAGTATGCACCTGGGTGTGATTGGGAGCTAATCGTCCCATTGATCCAATTTAATTGAGGATACCACCGACTCTACCGTGCGATGATCTTCCCATATTAAGTCCACGACAGCTTCTGCATTCCGAAGGCATTCAAGATCCTCATCTTTAAACACCAGCAAAGGACCATTGTATTGAAAATTGTCTCCCTTATCGAAGAGGATCTGATGAGCTGTCTCCACATTGAACCATTTCAATATATCGTATACGACGGTCGTGTTCTTAGGCCAAGCACGATCGGCCAAATCCTGACTTTCCCTGCATTCGTGAGACATATCTTCTCCGATCATTTATAGTGCTCCGTGAGGACAGATCTTTATGGAATCTTTCAATACAACGAGCTTCGAGTTCTTGATGGTAGCCAAATAGGTCTGACTAGCTTTTCTTGCCACCTCAGGCTTCCCGGAGGCTGCGCACTTTTCAACCCACTTCTTGAGGGGCCAATAGTATTCCGGTTTGCACAAATGGCCGTCATGACTGCCGAAATGGTGTTTTGCCATCTATTCTGTTCAAATGCTGGAAAGTTCCCTGGTGAGGAGCTGTTTCCAAATCAATCTTAAAAGTGAAGTTTGGATAAAGAGAGCGGGAGAGAGAGAGAACACGCTCTGTAGGAGCCAATAATCTGACTATGTATCTCTGATGATTATTTACAATTCTTTTGCTCCTTCATTCTTCCCGTTGTCCAGTCATTGTAGGGTCCTCTTCCAGACAAGATCAGCTGAAATGAAATGTTGTGAATGTTTCATTCCTCCCGTCCTACGGCCTGATCACTGTAGTTTCCTTGATCAGCTGCGGCCGGTGGACTAAATGAACTTAGATAGCCCTTGTTATCCTATCGTCCAACGTGGCCCAGTCCCATAAGCCTTCATGGCGTGCTCGTGAGGAAGATACTAGGCCGTCCGGCACGATATACCTCTAAAAGTTTTGTAGCTATATGGTAGAAGAACAAGGCTGGCCCATGCATATTAGCGAAAAAAGGTCGGTATTTCATATTTTGTGGCTAAATCTAATTTGCTGTCGACCTAGTATCTCACACAAGTCATCTGGTGTAAATCCATAGTGCTGGGCTATGCTCTGGCAGCAGGGAAGTGGGCAGGAAATTGGAAGGGGCGATGGCGATGTCGAAGGGATATTGAAGGCAAGTCGAAGGGAAGTCATTTGGGGTTGAGACATTATAATAGACAACAGACTGGTACGGAGCGCGACCGGGTGGAATCGGAATTACCGGACACGAGCTAATGATGGCGCCATTTGGAAACAGTCCTTTTTAGTATACTACTAAATCTTCGAATTCGGCCTGCAAAGGGTGCTGTTATATATAGATAGCAGGAAATAAATAGAGGCAATTTATAATTAATAATACTGTTATTTTTAAAAATTAATTATTAATAATTTTATAACTTTTAATTAATTATAATTAAATCTAAACTGTTACCGTCTTCTAGATAAGCTTTCGTATTTGTAAGATATAATTATATTAATTCTATTAAATTACTGCGACTTGTTCAGACAGTTATAATCTGTAATAAAAAATATTTATAATTTATATCGACTATTCTTATTAATCTATTATTTATATAATTATAGTCATCCACCTGAAATTGTCGATAAATAATATAATAAGAAATAAATTAGAAAAATATTATTATATCTATTTTAAAATATAATTATTCGACTGAATAGTATTATTAATATTTAAAACTAAAATTATAAAACTTCGGCTAAAATTATAAATATTCTGTTTTTTTAAACTTATAGTTCCGATGCCTACGATCTTATATTTATTATAATATTAAATAATAATAATATTTATTAGATTTAATATTTAAAAATAAGTTCTTTTTAAGTTATTTATTTCGGCTTGGAGTAGTAACTTATCTGCAGTTTATTAATCTTTATTTTAATTAAAAATAATTAAAAATATAAATTAATTATTTTTTAAATAGCTGCTACTAGCTATTAGAATTAAAAATATAAATTTGGCCCGTATCTTTTAGTTAAATTAGAAGAAAAATATTTATATTATATTTATAATAGTATTTAAATATATTAAATATTAATTAAAGTTTTTACTGTAACTGTTGCTGACACTTCGATCTAGAATTATCCGAATATTATTTATAAATTATTTTAATATTTACTATTTTACTAAATTTAATAATTAAATAAAAAAGAGAAATTTAACTACTATAATTTTAATTTAATAAAATATTTTATATAAATTTATTAAATTTTTTATATTTGTTTTTAACTCATCCGATCACTCTGCTTACAAATAAATTAAAACTACAGTATAAAAGTATATAAAATATAAAGAAAAAATAAAAAAGTCCTCTACTAAAATTAATAAATATAAATATTTTATTTCTGGCTGATAATTAAAAATAAATAAGACACTCGAAAATAATTGCAGGTGAGTATAAAATTAAAGTAAGTTTCTATCTTTCGGTCTATTCTTATTTTTTAATTTATATTTATTCTTTAATCCGCGTCTATTCTTTAGTCTGTTTTTATTTTTCAGTCTGTTCTAATTCTTAAATTTATTTCTATTCTTAAATTATTTTTATTTTTTAGTCTGTTTCTACTCTTCAGTCTGTTTTTACTTTTTAGTCTGTTTTTATTCTTTAGTCTGTGTTTACTCTCCAGTCTGTCTTTACTTTTTAATCTATGCCTATTTTTTAGTCTGTATTTATTTTTTAATTTATATCTATTCTTCAGTCTGTTCCTACTCTTCAGTCTGTTTTAATTTTTAAATCTATTTTTATTTTTAAATCTGTTTTTATTCTTCAGTCTGTTTTTATTCTTCAGTTTATTTCTATTTTTTAATTTATTTTTATTTTTTAGTCTGTGTCTATTTTTTAATCTGTTTCTACTTTTTAATCTGTGTCTATTTTTTAATTTGTTTTTATTTTTTAGTCTGTTTTTACTTTTTAATCTGCGTTTATTCTTTAGTCTATACCTACTCTTTAATTTATACTTATTCTTTAGTCTATTTCTATTTTTTAATTTATTTTTATTTTTTAGTCTATATCTATTCTTCAGTCTGTTTCTATTCTTCAGTCTGTTTTTACTCTTCAGTCTATTTTTATTTTTTAATATATATCTACTCTTCAGTCTGTTTTTATTTTTTAATTTATTTCTACTCTTCAGTCTATTTTTATTTTTTAATTTATTTTTATTCTTCAGTTTGTTTTTATTCTCTAATCTGTTCCTACTCTTTAATCTATTTCTACTTTTTAATCTGTTTTTATTTTTCAGTCTGTTTCTATCTTTAAATCTGTTTCTATTTTTTAGTCTGTTTCTACTTCTTAGTTTATACTATCTTTATAATTTATTAAATAAAAATATATTAAAAATTACTGTATTTATATAAATATTATAATAATAATTAGCGATCTGATTGCTGCAGACGCCCGTTCTATTACTTAATTTTAATAATTAAAATATATAATATATAATTATATAGAAATATATTAAAATAAGTAGAGATAAATCTCGAGTCTTTAAATAAAAAAAATAATTTAAAAAATAAATAATTTTTTAATTTGTTAGAATATACTATAAAAAAACTACAATAGTATTAATTAAAACTAGTCTTTAGTATTTTCTAAATTATATATTTAATTACAGTTACTGTTGAATAGATTATAAAAATTAAATATTTATATAGTTATATATTAAATATAATTTATACAGCAGTTATATAAATAAAAAAGAAAGAACAGTTATAAATACTAGCTCGAAATCTATATTTAAATTAAATAAATATTAATTAAAATTAGTCTTTTTTAATATTATTTTAGAATTCAAATATCTAAGCTATATAAGAAGAATTCTGAATACCTTCACTTCCACTTTAATAAAACCTTACTTTTCACTCAAACTTTATATGGGATTCCATACAAAATTTAAGTAAGAGGTAAAGTGAACGTAAAAGTAAAGTAAAAGATAGATAAAATCAATTTCTTGAATAAGTAACTGATTAAACTGATTGAACTGAATAAATTGAATGAAGTAAACTGAAACTGAACTGAAACTGCTTGCTCAACTAACTAAAAGAACAAAAGGAATTGACCTCTTATTTATAGCTGAATAGCCATATTGTATTTTCCGTAGGCTTTTCCGCGATCATATGAAAAACACATGAAAGTAAATAAATGAAATAAATTACCTATTGAACAGGAACAATAGG